ACGTGAATGGCAGGTGGTACACCAGGAAGATGTGGGGCACTGACCCTCGGGGATGCCGGCCCCACAGGAGAAGCACCGGCTGTCCCCTCCTGGTGCGCGAGAGCTGCTCATGCCCACGGAGCACCAGGCTGGCCTCTGGCTCCTGTGGAGCCGTGCTGAGGGAAGATGAGAAGTGGAGGGACTCGGCCCTTGAGCTCGGTGCGCTCCCTTGGCAAAGGCTCACTGGCCAGAGGAGGGAGAGGCCGGCGCCTCCGAGGCTTCCGGGCAGACGGCAAGGACGCGACTGTGATAAATGTTTGGTGGCTCCGTGAGTCAGAGCATCAGGCAGGGTCAGAGCTTGGAGGAAATGAGCGGTTTACACGTGGGCCTTGGCTCAGAGGAGCCGCTCTCCGCTGAGCGGTGTCAGAGTTGGAACTAGAAGATTTTTTGCTTCTAAGCCACGGGAGGTGAAGGAACGCTCTGGCCATTTGGGCTTTGGAAGGAGAGGTGAGAAACGATTCTAGCAGGTGACCCAGTGGGGCCTGGGGTTGGGTGGGAGGAGCCAGAAAAGCAAACCACAGTGTCTGTTTCAGAAGTCGGTCTGAAGAGAGGCAGAGCCCCAACTCCTAGGACCCAGGGCCCCAGGCCCACATGGCACTGCCTCTCTGGGGGGCTGCAGTTCCCACATCTAAAACCAAGAAAACCAGGATGGTCATCCTACCCTGACCCTCGCGGCCTGTCTCCTGGCTCACCTCGGGCTGGGCAGGACTGCCCAAGTCTCTGTGGAGCTGGACAGGAACCTCCCTGCACCTCTGGTGGCTGACATTTTCCATCCCTGGCCACACACACCACAGCCAGGCAATGTCCCTGGAGCCGAGAGTCCCCACCCTGGAAAGGGCAGAGGGCGTGACCCCGTGCTGGGCCATCCTCTTCCCCGTTCACGCTCTCCAGCGCCCCACGGGGGAGCCCACACGTTAAAGCTGGCATCTATGGAGCAGTGCCCTCTGCATGGCATGAGGTCGTGCACCTGTCACGTGGTGCTTGCAGCTACTTAACGATGTAGGGGCCACATCGTCTGCATTTTACAGATGAGGAAACAGGCTGGGCCCATGGTCAGGGAGCCGGAGCCCACTGTCAGGGCATGGCCAACCTAGGAGCCACCTCCTACCCAGCCCAGATGCTCCCACATGCCCTCCACCCCGCGGCCCCACCGTGGCCTCACCCTCGACGTAGGGGAACGTGCTCACGGGCAGCCACAGCCCGTTCCTCTTCTGGTTCTTCCTCGTGAACATGGCTCACATGTCCAGAAAACCAGCCCAGGGCCAAGGGGTGATCTGAGAATCTGGGGGACGAGGATGCAATAACCAAGGCTCCACGGGCCTGAGCTGGACCCCTGGGATCTGCCCACAGCCCGTGCCCAGGCTGGAACGAGGCTCTGCCTGCTAACACTCGCACTTCGCTTACATTTGTATGTGTTGCTCTATTTTTAAAATCCTCCTTGGAATGCTGTATGTTCTGGAACATGTGCAGTTTCCACGCCGTGGGTGGGAAAATCTACAGCTAAACTCTCCAATTATGCATATTACATAGGCTTAGTGTCTCTAAATAACATACACTTTTCCCCACTTGCCTGTAGCCTCATAGGAAACACAATCATAATAACGATAATAATGTATGTGGTTTTCAGCCACTAAGTTTGGGGTATTCTGTTACACAGCAATGGATGAATAGATAACTGATACAGCTGTTGTTGTGAACTAATTTTTGTAAATCGGGGAAGAAGCCTTCTTGCTATCGAGAGTTGCTCAACAGTGGTACGGGGACCAGAGGAAAGAGAGGGTCTCCAGAGTGGAGGGGGCCCTGCACTGGGACTCTACAGTGTAGCCAGAAAAATAAAGCCCTCCTGCAACCACTGCCATTATGCTGGCTGGCCATTCTCTTCTGAGATGGTTAAATGCCCCAATCCTCTCACAACTGCGGGGCTGGCAGTGGCATGGGGGGCCAGCCCCGGGTCTGTCTCTGGCTGCTCCGCCATGCCATCTTCATTTGGAAGCCTGTTGGAGACAATAGTGGGTATCGCAAATTCCCACCTTGCTGTCTGTTGTCTTATCTCCTCCACCAGGTCAGCCACTGAGCACCAACTGTGTCCCAGGCAGCACTGAAGAGCTTGGGACAAGTTAGGAAACAAAACTGACAGGGACCCCAGCCGTGGCAGGGCCGTCCGGGCATCTTTCCTTTGGCGACTCTTTGGACTTGATCTTCGCCCCAAGGCACAGTCATTACCCTGCTGAGCAGCCAGGACCTGCGTCACCTACATCACACAGGGACTTGAAGAAAGCTGGAGCCATCCCACGTGCTGCTGCCTTCTCAGCTGGAACTCCTGCTTCCCGAGACACGCAGACCCTCGTGAATGGCTCTCGGCCCTCGTCGCACACGGGACGGGGCGGCTCCTCTCCCCGACGCAGCACTGGGAGTGTCAAGCTTCAGCATGTCACTGTGGGAGCCGGGTGTCGGCCACGGATACAGCCTGGTCACCAACAGACACAGCTGGACCCGGCTTGGCCCCCCTCAAGCACCTCACTAACACTTTCTTTAAAGGGTCTCAGCTATTAGGGAAGCCTTCGTGTGGGGGGAAATCAGAAGAGAAAGGGGCGAACAACTTGGATTAGAAAGTTCCAGCTGCTGTGCCGTCTGGGTTCCTCAGAGGACCGATCTGGAGCAGGCCACCAGAGGCCCCGGACGGGGCCTGCCGCCCACTTTGTAAAACAAGGCCATCCAAGCGACATTTCCTCAGTGGTTTTAAATAAATGCCTTGTCATAATATTTGTGCTAAGTTGCCTTTTATGATTTTTTAAGCTCCTAGACTGGCTCAAAAAGAAATCTTTGAAAAGAAGTCCAGCTTAGCGGAAAGGTCAGGGGTATGAAAACCAAACAGTGAGCTTAAGTGGCCGGGCAAGAACGCGGCTCCGCTGGTGTCGTCCTGAGCAGCCACAGCTACCAGCTGGCAAAGGGACAGGCCCCAGGGGCCACTGGCTGGTGCCTTTCCCTCGGGAGACTCTCGATAGAGGTGACCAAACGGCACTGTCCCTGGTAAGACCCCAATGTGACCGTGGATGCCGAGATGGCATTGAGCCCCTGTGCGTCCAACACAGTCCAGCACCATCACTTCCTTTTGTGACGAGGACACTCAGGTCCCAATCCCAAGACCGGTTTACTGAACTGGTGGACTTGTCTCCAGAGAACAAGCCTGCTCTAATCTGGCGGGGATTTAAAGCAACTTTTGTTGGCCTGGGCACATCCCCCTCGTACCCCCTGAACTTGCTGTTCCTCTGTGTTCACTCCACTGGTGTTCCCTGGGTGCCTGTGTGCCCGCACTGACGGCCTCAGCAGCAGCCCGGCCTGAGGAGCAGCCATTCAGCCTCTATTCCCATCTTACAGATGATGAAATTGGGGTACAGAGAAGCTAAAACACTTGCCCAAATAGGAAAGGGAAGGCCAAAGTGAAGGGACATCTCTCGCCTCCGAGCCTCCTGTTCTGGCTTCCAGCAAAGGGACTTGGTGTTGTCTTTGAAGGCTAGATGTTTATGCGCATACTTTCATGTGCTTGGACTCCCTGGTGCGAGCATCACGTTTCAGTGGAACAGGCAAAGCCGCAGAGGAATATACACAGACCCTTGCTGGCCATCAGCTCCTCAGCCTAGACTTCTCCCTGCTGGGCCCTCTGGGCTGGGGCTGGGGGCTGGGCAGGGCTTCCTCAGTCTCACTCCCCTCCCTCAACACCACGCCCTCAGGCTATTCCCATTTCCTATTCCCAGTACAGCAAGTGCAGCCAGCCAGGTCCACACAGGGACAGGGGCGCCCTCCCTAACCCTGTGGGGCGTGGGTTCTGAGGGTGACTTCTGATGACCACCTCCAGGTGTGATAAGGGGGCTGAGCCGTGCCCACTCACACCCCAGGCCGCACAAGGCCGCTCCAGGGTGTCACGTGCAGGGACCAGACTGCATGAGGAGGAGTGCTGCTTTCTTCCCTGCTCTTTGGCCTCCTCATTCGCCCACCCTCTTAGCTGTGCTAGGGCCCCCTGGGCGCCAGGTTCTGGCACCTCATGGGCACCCCAGGAGGGAGGGGCGGCCCAACCATCCCAGCGAGGAGCTTCCTGCTTCGCCCCCTGCCCCCACACTCCCTCTCCCCCGCTGAGCCAGATAACGTGGGGGACGCAGCTCCCTTCCTGGCGGGGGTGGGGGGGGTGGGGTGGGGGGAAGTGAGAAGTTGGAAAGACCAGGGAAAGGAGGATGTGCTGTCTGGGGGAGGGTGCCTGAAAAGAGCCATTATCTCCTATGCACCCTGCTGGAATCCCAGCTCGCTGGGGAGCTCTACCAGCCGGGATTGTCCTTAGGAGCGCGCGGGGGCGACCCGCCAGCCCTGCACTGGGCGGGGCGGGAACAGAGGCTGGGGCCGCCTCCTCCCCTGTCCACCGCCCCCACGGCTGGGCGCGCCGCGCCGCCGCCAGCTTAGTGGAGGCGCGGAGCCCCGGAGGGCGCGGGCGCGGCGTGCGGTGTGCGGAGCGGGTGTGCGCGGAGAGCGCGAGGGAGGAGAGCGCGAGCGAGGGAGAGAGCGCGCCGGAGCAGCCGTGCGTGCGCTCCGCTCGGCGCCACAAGCTCGGGCCGCGCAGCCCAAGCCGGCCGGGAGCTCTCCACGGGAGTCGGCGCTGCCGCCCCGGGGCCCGAGGAACCGCGGGGTCTGGAGATCGGAGGAAGCTGGGGCAAGCGCTGAGCCCGGAAGGAACCCGCAGCCCAGAGCCGGGAGTCTGGAGGAGGAGTGGAGCCCGCAGCCCCGGGTAAGCGCAAGCCCCGAGCGCTCCGAGTGGCACGGTCCGGGTCGGGCGCTTCCCGTCTGGACGGCGCGCCGCCTCGCCCTCTCGCGCTTTCCGCCCGGGCTTACGGGATTCTGTCCCCGCCTGAGACGCGCCCACCCTTTCCCGGGCTTCCAGCCGCGGAGGCACCCGACGAACGCGGCACCCCGCCCCGCGCGCCCACCATGCGCCTCAACAGCTCCGCGCCGGGCCCCGGGGGCGCGCCGGACCCCGACCCCTTCCCGCTGCCGCCTTCGGGGCTGGAGGCGGCGCTCCTGGCCCCAGGCTTTGGCAACGGCTCGGGCAATGCGTCCGACCGGGTCCGAGCGGCGCCCAACAGCGACCTGGACGTGAATACGGACATCTACTCCAAGGTGCTGGTGACGGCCGTGTACCTGGCACTCTTCGTGGTGGGCACGGTGGGCAACTCGGTGACGGCGTTCACGCTGGCGCGCAAGAAGTCACTGCAGAACCTGCAGAGCACCGTGCACTACCACCTGGGCAGCCTGGCGCTGTCCGACCTGCTCATCCTGCTGCTGGCCATGCCTGTGGAGCTGTACAACTTCATCTGGGTGCACCACCCCTGGGCCTTCGGCGACGCCGGCTGCCGGGGCTACTACTTCCTGCGCGATGCTTGCACCTATGCCACCGCCCTCAACGTGGCTAGCCTGAGTGTGGAGCGATACCTGGCCATCTGCCACCCCTTCAAGGCCAAGACCCTTATGTCCCGCAGCCGCACCAAGAAGTTCATCAGTGCCATCTGGCTCACCTCGGGCCTGCTGGCCGTGCCCATGCTCTTCACCATGGGCCAGCAGAACCGCAGCGCCGACGGCCAGCACCCCGGCGGCCTGGTGTGCACGCCCATCGTGGGCACCGCCACGATCAAGGTCGTCATCCAGGTGAGCAGCCTCTTCAGGGGGAGAAGGGCCAAGGAGAAACAGGGATCTCACCTGGGGCAAGAGTTGGCAGGCACCCCTCAGGGAAGCCTCCTCACCTCTCTTTTCCTCACCCCAAAAGTAGTTTCCAGTCTGGGTACCCTCTGGGAACAGGGAATTGGAGAAATGTCATCGAGAAGTGTCACTCCTGGGAACGAGATGGGGGGAGAGGGATGGAGGACCTCAGGAGCAGCCTGACCCCCATCTTCCCACCTTTCACTCCAGAGCTGCCAGGTCTCAGCACCCTCATCTCATCCTCTCCTTCTAGCAAAGGGTCATTGACCCCCTGGGGAGTCCATGGATGGGCCTCAGCTGTCTCTACACATCCCCTGAGATGTGAGGTACTTGTGTGTGCTGGCGCCAGCCTCTTCTGGAGAGCCCCTTTCATCAGCTTCTCAAAAAGCTTTGTGCCCCCAAAAGTCTGGGTCCCTCTCCTCTGCAGCAGAACCCCAGCTGCTCCCCCAGTGCCTCCTGGCTGCCCTGTCCCGGCCCACCCTTGAGAGACGGAGCTGAACGTGACGCTGTCTTGGCCCAGTTCCTTAGTTCAGTCTCAGTTTTCCCATCTGTGAAGTGGGGTAATCGTAGCCCCAACCTCAGAAGGTAGAGGATTCAAGAGCAGATGTGTGCACTGTGCTGCATGGTTCCTGGCCCGTAGAAACGCTCAAAGGCACTCCCGCTGTCGGTGACGATGTTGTTTCTGCTGGGAAGGTCCTAAGGTATTGGGGCGTGGTGGCAGGTGGGGGGACCTGTGTGAGGTGAATAACACTGGAGCCAGGTGACCAGTGGCCCTCTGAGGGTCTGAGCAAAGCACTACGGGAACCCAGGTGGGCACCCTCCCTGGGAATCGGCTTGGACGAGGCAGCCTGGCAGGGTGGGGAGATTCCAGCACTGGGGAGAAGGCTTATCAGGCAGAGACTGGCCAGGCAAGGGCCCTGAGCGGGAGGAGGGTGTCCACGGGAGGGAGTCTGGGCAGAAATGCCACTTTGAGTGGTATCGTGGCCCTAGGATGTGGGTAGCCGTGGAGGTGCAGGGTGGGATCAGGAAGGCCAGGGGACAGGATCCGGGTGGGGCCTCCATGCTCTCTGCCGAGCTGGAGGAGGGGGCCAGAGTGGCCGGCTGTCCTCGCCTGGTGGTGATTCCATTCCGAAGCCGTCAGCAGCCTCCTAGCAGAACCTGTGCTGCCCCCTCGGAAGCCCAAGCGTGACAGGTGTGCCAGGCCGGAGCCCTCCTCTGCCGTCTGTCCCTGGGCTGTGGCTGACCCTCCGCCAGTCATCACCGTGGTGGGCCAAGGGGGCAGAATTAAGCTCCGGGCCCCCCCTCGCCTGCACTGAGAACTTGTGGCTACAGGTGTCCCCTGCATGAGCGGCCCCCACCAGCAGCGCGTGTGGCGGGGAGATGAGCGAGGGCGCGGCTGCCTCTTCCCAGTGCCTTCCCCGAGCTAGAGGCAGAGGCAATCAGGGCTCCTTGTGCAGTCAACAGGCCGGGAAATTACCCTCCCGCCTCCTCTGAGGTCTCGTCTTCCTTCCCAAGCTCCTGTCTTTGATGGGCTGTGCCCAGGGGCCTCTCCCCACCCACACTAGGGGGCTGGGGGGGCAGCAGCCACGCCACCTGCCTCCGAAGGCATGACGTGGCAGGTTCAGGTCAGCAACAAGGGTGGGCGATGCTCACTGCCGGCCTGGGAAACGCTCCACTCAGACCCCCGCCCCCTCTGGCTCCCGTGGGCTTGGCCAGGAGCAGTCGAGGGTTTCGTGATCGGCAAAAACAAACAATCGGGGGCCGACCCGGTGGCTTAGTGGTTAAGCTTGGTGCACTCCTCTTCAGTGGCCTGGGTTCGTAGGCCCGGATCCTGGACGTGGACCTCCACCACTCATCAGCCATGCTGTGGCGCGACCCACATGCAGAATAGAGGAAGGCTGGCCACAGATGTTGGCTCAGCGCGAATCTTCCTCAGCAAAAAAAAAGAAGAAAGAAAGAAAGAAAGAAAAGGGACTTCCTTTATAAAAACAAACAACAGAGCAGAGGGAGCACGGCCCCCCAAGAGCATCCTCCCCCCGACTCCTGTGGCCCCCCTGTTGGTCCCGAAGAATCTGACACCTAAGCAACGCCGCTTTGTCTCCCAAAGTGCCCTTCTTCTGAGTCCAGTTGCTCAGAGGCTGCAATGTCGACACGGCCCCAGGCGTGTCCTGGTCACGCGTGCACTCGGCAAATATCTGTTGAGCGTCAACTGTGGACAGGCTTCCCTTTTGCACCCGCAGATGTCGTGCTGGCCGAGCATTGACTAAGTGCCTGCTGGCCTCCTGATGCCCTCGGAGAGTGGAGTTCCTATTTTTCTTTAAAGGCCTTGGCCGAGTGCTTGGGAGCAACTGGTGGGCTGACTTCCGTCACATGCTGACTGCTCTCACGAGGCTTCTGGGGTCCTGCGTGCGGGCTACTCCGTGTGCTTCCTTACGGGGAAGCATGGCCTTGGCTGTGCCACCTCCCCCAGTCCCTTCTGCACGGCCATCCACCATCTCAGGAGTGGTTGTGGGGGTGGGTAACGTTCCCCACTGGGGCTTCAGGGCCACTTGACAGGTGTGGGCAAACGTCCACTATAAACAGTGACGGTCTGGCCAGAGAGGGGCTGGGCACCCGCATCCGTGTCTCCCTCTCCCATCACGGTGGGGTGTGGAGGCCTTGGCCGATCAAAGTGGCCCCTCTTTTCAGAACGGGGGCCTCCCCCAGCCGGTGTCTCCCATGAGGCCAGCAGCCCTCCACGTCTGTGAGATCCCATCCTGGGGACTTGCAAACAGAAGTCGTGTTTAGAAATGAGGTGGCCTGGTGATAAATTCTGAGCAGCTCTGAACAGTCGTTGCTAATACAGCTGGGCATATTCTGAGCGTGGGGACTGGGCTGGTGGGGGGACAGTGGCGAGCAGAACTTATGGAGAGGGCAGGGCAGTCCCAGGCCAGCAAGGGCCCTGGGCCCGGGGTCACTGGGTGGCCGGGAGGAGTAGTCTGCAGAGCCTGCCACATTTCCCAGTGCAGTCCCTCCTCTGCCCCCAGCGGGGACTGGATTCAAATCCTCCCAAATAGACTGCTGGTCATGGTGAAACTTCTCGGTGGAAGAGGTGAGCATTCAGTGATGAGTGGTCTTCCCGTTAGGAAGTCCCTCCAAGAGATAGTGCTGCCACCACCACTCACTCAGGCGTCTTCCTGAGGTGGACAGCCGTCCACGCACATGGCCCTGCCCGTGTGGATTGGCCTTGAATCCTGTTTGGTCCACTGCAATTCAGGCCGGGCCCTGTGCCCTGACCTCAGGCGTGATGCGGGTCCTGCTCTCACAGGTTCTGTGTCGCTGGCTTCACGTCGGGCAGGGCCTGTCCACTCACCCAGTGATGCGCACTGAGCACGTCCTGTGTGCAGCCGGTGGTGGAAAGAGCAGCGAGCCGGGGAGACGGAGAGCGGCAGAGGCCTGGGGAGGTTGAGCGTCTGGCTCAGATCTGCCTTGGCGGGGGGCTTGTTCAGCCTCGTTTCACCCCAGCGGCCCCCAGCCCCCACCCAGGACTCAGCCACGAATGTGCCGCCTGCCCCAGCGCAGTCGCTAACGTGGGTGCCAGCTCAGCACCAGGGCCGCGCCGAATCTGGCCTGGGCTCCAGCCCCAGCCCCTGGACACGTGCTGTCCCTGTGTGTTCTCATCTTCCCAGTTACCGAAGGAAGGCACGGGAGGTGCTGACCTCCCCCAGCCCAGTGTTCTAGAGCCTGGGGGACTGTGTCCACACACACATGAAAACACACACAGATGCACACGTGGAGACACACGTACAGACATGCATTCATGAACGTAGAGATACACAGACACAGAGACACAGGAACACGCACATATACACATAGGTAGAGACACACCAATAGGCACAAGATACATGTGCATACACACAGACATACATGTGCACACACAGGCACAAGCACACATGCTCACACACATGTGCCTGCACACACACATACCGCGTGTTTCACCAGGGTCCCTCACGGCATCCTGCAGGCTGTCTCCGCAGCTCAGTTAACAGAAGAGGATCTGGAGGTCTCGTCTTTTTCTCAGAAGTATGGAGGCATCTGTGCCACTCGGGGCATAGGATCTGGGGGACTGGTGCCTGCAGGGGGCCGCAGCCCAGCTTCTCTAACTGGACACCCCAAGCAGAGACCCCAGGGTCAGGGTCACCTCCAACCCTCGGTGTTGGTGGACACCTGTGGGCAGAGCGCCCAGCGCCCCAAGCCGAGCCTCACAATAGTGCCCAGTGGTGGCCTTGCACCATCACTGGCAAATGTCCTGGGGGCAGCAGGTCTGTCCTCCACTGAGACCTGGTTCTGCTGTTTTTGCAGTAAATTCACAGTCCTCGTGATGCTCGAGCCAGTGGTACAGGGTTCCCATCCTGACAGCACGTTTGCTCTGCTGGCCGGGGCCGGGGGTCTAGAAGGTGCCCCAGGTCAGAGCAGCTCCTCCGCATATGGGCTGTGCCCAGGAAGTGAGGCTGAGTTAGGGGCTGCATCGTTTAAACCGTTTTTAGAGAGCCCCCTCCCCCAAGGCCACACCTAGTGCAGCGTCTCCTGCATGGCCAGGCAGGAGCCGTTAGGCCTGCGTAGGCAGCGGCTGGGGCCTCTGCGTCAGCACTTCACTATTGCTGTTTTCCAGGACCTGCCAGCCTTGCAGCAGCTCTACGCTGGGGGCCCTGCTCCTGGGGGCTCCCTGCCTCGTCATTTGTCTTCCCACAAAACCTCTTTCCTGTTTTGTGCAAACAGAAGTGCTCCTGGTGGGGTTGGACCCAACTTCAGAAGGGGTTGGCCAGCACTGGGTAGGGGTGCGCCCTCTCCCCAAGGGTCACGCAGAAGGAGCTGGTGTCCCACACTCACCTGCTCGGAGGCCACGGGCACACAGACCCAAGGCGGCATCGAGAACACCTGGGCCGTTCAAGTCGGACACGATTCCTTTG